GAAGCACTCTGTGCTGGCCCGGTAACGGGAGATTGCGAGCTGTGATGTTTTAAGATTCCAATCAGGTTGCTTGCAGTCAGTAGTAAAGTAAAGTAAAAGTGCTTACTTTAGGTTTCCAGCATGATGCAGATACACTTCTCATTTTGTTTGTTTACAACCCACGATCTTGTACACATACTGATTACTGTCACACATCACTACTGTACTGTACTGTACTGTACTAGATTAGTTTAGACTTTAGAATTACATGTAGACCTACAACCAAGACTGCAAGAGTACTAGAAACTCCAGCGGTTCCCCATCAATACACAATGCACTAGTCGCTACTGTATACTACAGAGTACAGTAGCGTAGTGGTACCCGGGTAGTGGTAGATACCCTGCTTTGGAGTGGTGCACCCAGTGGGCAAGTAGACTCTGTCACAGCACACTGTTTGTTTTTACTCTTTGGCCACCACAGCCGGAGTGGTCCACTTCTAGTAATCTAGCCTAGTTTAGAACCATCAAGAGTACATAGCCCCACTCGTACTCTGAGTCTTACTCTTTCTACTAGTACTTGTCTTTAGTAGGCTACTACTGTAGTAGCTCCGTCACTGGTTAAGTGCCCAGTGTGGTCTCACTCTCAGACTAGCTGGTATGGGTGATTGTGGGCAGAGTGTGCTCAGGCCACCCTGAGATAATCTGGGAGCAGAACTGACGCTGTGGCTGTGACCATACAGGGTGACAGGGTTCCAATGCCCTGTCCAGCCTAATGGATGTGCTCTTGACATTGCACCACACTCCCCACATGTGCACAGTCACAAAGGATAGTTACAATTTTACTACTCCCTGGTTGCAACTAACTTACTTTGAGTAAGAGTCTCGCTGATCATCAGGGCCATTCAGGCAACACTATTTCTTGACATTTAATTATGACAGATCAGTCCAGCCTCCCCGGATCATGTGACACCAACACGGATACACCAACACCACCCCGGGCCGCAACATGTTCATCACTGTCCACACACATGTCATGAAGTACTCCCAAAGTCTCCACCAAGAAACTCTTGAGACTAGCCAGATGTCCAGCACTTCTGTTCAACACACCTTGGCTACTGTACATTATAGCTAGCTGAACTAACTGGTGGGGTACTTTCCTTCCTTTGTGATCTGTCATAATCAGATCATTATCAGTGTCTGTGACTGACCCAGGCTGTCAGTGATGAACAGTGGGGGGGGGGTATAGGCACCACATTATCATTTTGCTAGTATGCTACATACCGTAATGTCGCGTATAAAGCAGGTGCTTACGGCCGTATGCCGGGGTTCAAACCATGCTTTTGTTCAAGTAATAATAATATTATAATAATATTATTATTATTAGTTATGCTTCTATGTCAACATCATCAGTCTACACTGTGCAGTGCACACTGCAGTACTGGCACACATGAGAGTAGTCAACAATGAATTATGATACATGCATGCAAGCTCTAGGGGGAATGAGCCTGTATCTGTTGAAGCCTGCTTCTAAAACATCTTATCTCTCAAGAGTGGAGACTCACCTAGACCAAAATTAATGGCACTACCCCCATTAGGAGGATTAGGAGTGTCGAGACACCTACTTGAGAGCTGAGACATAGAGTGGCACTTCTATGAAAGATTGGTGAGAAGCAGCTGTTTGGTACTGTCAGGCTTGGGTTCAGGAGTCATACAAACACCTCGTGTACATACACTGCTCAAATCATGATCTGGATGTGCAGGACTCAAGGAAGGCAAGAAAACACACACTTGATTTAAAGGTGGTCTATCCCCAGTCCAGGCCTCCCGCAGTGTAGTGCCCGATTCAATAATACAATAATCTATTTATAACCCTTCTGCACATTGCTGCTGATGGTGATAGGTACAGGCAGCTTGCAGTGTAGTTTAATAGGTGTTTTATTTTTTTATGCTGCTGCCTTATGACACACATGACACCCCTACGACCAGAATGGTTATGGGTTATACATACATGTACATACATACATACATACATACATACATACATACATACATACATACATACATACATACATACATACATACATACATACATACTCAATCTGCGGACAGAACTGTTTCGTCCTTTGTGGACTCGTCAGCGCAGCACAGAGGAAATGAGGCCGAACCTGATAGCAATGGAAATAAAAATTTCCAATCAGGCCCGAACGTACCTTGCCAGAGTGCTCAAACTGACAAGTCAGTGAGCTCTGCATAACGCAAACAGCAAAGGCACTACCCCACGCAAGAGTGCTCAACTGCTACAAGAGCAGGAGCGAAATACTCAATCTGCGGACAGAACTGTTTCGTCCTTTGTGGACTCGTCAGCGCAGCACAGAGGACATACATACATACATGTACATACATACATACATGTACATGCATACATACATGTACATACATGCATACGACATCCCGTAGAATCCCGTAGACCCAGTTGGGTGTTGAATGTACAGGACCCTATTGTATTACAGTACCGTATTTTACCGGTTGTAAGTCGACCCCGGTTATAGGTCGACCCCCGTATCCGGAGGTCTCAATTTTGCGTTTTCAAGTTTTCACCCAACGAAGCACTACCGTTATATACCAACCACACCCTGCTACTAACACATCAACAAATCATGTAAACATTCCTTATTGGAGGGTATAACGTCCCAATCCTTGAAAAAGGCCAATAAACTGGCAAACATGTGTACACATGGTGCACTCATGCATGCAGGGCAGGTCATTTTTTGTAAGATTCTGATAGTTCCCGGTTATAAGTCGAATCCCGGTTGTAAGTCGACCCCCACCCTTTCTCCTTCTATTTTTAGTCGTAAAAGGTCGACTTACAACCGGAAAAATACGGTACATGTATCTGTATTTTCGACAACGAAACGTTCCCTTCAGGCATTTTATATAACAACAATTTTTCGGACGAAGATCTAGCTAGTCATTAGTTCTATCCAAACTGATGAAGCTGGAAAAGCGACTGGCTGCCACTACGTATTGGGCTAAATTTGTCAAATGCGCACGTACAGCACACAATGAACAGCCAACCGTGCATGTACACACCTAAGGGAATTTGTACATCTGTGCGAGATGATCTAATGTGCATAAGGACTATTTTATTCAACTCACTCCCATAACATCACAATTATGCAAGCAATGCTTTAAAGTACATGTATGGGGAACAACCCCAGAGATCAGGGCAACACCCGACTATGGCAAAAAATTGAGCACTCAGGCACCATTATTAATTTTTTGAATGGTCCAGTACTCTTGAAAACACTAAACAAGCCTGCTAGAGCCACACCTCAAATACAGTCATATGAGACGGGTGGGGGGCGGTTTTGTCCAAAGGCTCAAAGTCAACTTGAAATGAGCTTTGAGATCAACCACTTTGTACATCGGCCAACAAGAAATTTAATCCTGATTGTATGACATTTACAGTGTAGACACGGTGTTGCTTGCAGGATGCAAAACGAAGAAAACATCTCACAACATTCTTTTCCCATCTGCTAGTCGTCTAAAGCGAAGCTCGAATTGTCAACATACAGCACTGGGGTGCTTGTGCTACGCCAGGGTTGTAGCATGGAGATTTCAGGTGGGTCCAGCCAAATGGGATGCAGTACTTGACCGGAATTGAACATTATTGACGCCCCTCCCCCCCCCCCACATGGCATGAATCGGGCGGGTCAACTTTACTTTCTCGAAATAGCCATGACCATGACTGGGTGCTATGGCCTTGTATGCCAACACTTCATTGCTCTGGTGACGGTGGGTTACACTATTGACGTCAAGTGGGACAGGAAAGTCATTTCGAGCTCGCAGGTCAGCGCGATGTGACATGACCGTCACTGTGATTAGACGGCACTTGTCAACAGCAGCCCACAATACCGTATCATATCAACAACTGAGCTTACTGTGCTATTCACCTCAGTGACAACAGTGACACGTCAGTCAAGTCCCATAAACATGACATAACACAACACAATACAGTACTCCTGTCCCATTCCCACGTTCCCTCCTCGCTATGACAAACACACATATTATGTATACCGTAGTAACGCACATGTAGGCGCATGCGCCTGTATTCGGATATAAGCGCACTCTCACTCATAAGCGCATGCTCTTCAGTCTTATAGGCGAAGCACTACCAAAATTATCACGTTGACAAAATCATGGATACAAGTAACAGCAAACAGGAACCATGAAACTGACACTTCAAGACCTAGTCAAACACAAAAACTCTGGCAAACGAACTGTGATCGCGCATGCGCGTTAATGTGAAAATGTTTCATTTTTGAAAATTGGATTCGTAGCAAAAATTCACTCATAAGCGCATGTGCTAGTGTGTGCGTTATTACGATACATCACCCATCATGTCCCGGTCGCTCAAGTAAGGCCAAGTGCAAGGGAGGTGCTCTTCTATTGATGGTCCCGTACAACATGCTATACCATACTCAATGTGTATGACTATTGTTTACAGTGCCAATGGCATTACACCTTGAACCATACCTTTTTTATTATTTTTTTTCGGACCAATGTCAATGAAATACAAGTGTTCACTAGAATTACACACACAACGACTCATATCTTGGTGGTCCTTCTAGAATTACACACACAACGACTCATACCTTGGTGGTCCTTCTAGAATTACACACACAACGACTCATACCTTGGTGGTCCTTCTAGAATTACACACACAACGACTCATACCTTGGTGGTCCTTCCCACCAATATCGGAAGCATGGTACAGTATATGTGTCCTCGATTTCAACCTGGGTTGCAATGAAATTTAAAAGTTGGGATTCGAACCCACAAACTTCGATTACGACGGAAATAGGCGGAATAATAAGGTTCATTACAACTCCCAATACATCAGTAAACAAATTAACAGAGTTCCTACATTTCGGATATCCTTTGTCGGCAGAATCAGCATCGAGACATTCTTTCTTCAAATTTCCTCAAAACTCTATCAAACTTCAAAAGTCAATGAATAAATTCAAGTTGAAGATGGTTTTATTTTATAAGAAAGAGATAAAATCCATCAGATAAATCAAGGGAATAAACATCAAAAGATGATTCAAAACAGTGAGAACTATAGAGGAATAAGATATGAAGGTGAGAACCAGCTCATCTTCTTGAGTACCCGAAATACGACCATTGGCATTGTGCAGAAAGTGTATGTTGTCGGAGTGTATTAATTATGGATTCTCAAACAGTTTCCGACAGAGCGAGCTATCATTGACCAGCGTGTCTTCGCCAATGCTGTCTCCAACGCGATCACCACAAGCCAAGCCGCTGGCGCCTGAGAAATCCGGTTCACTAAACAAAAGAGGTGAGTCAAGGGCTGGTTGGGCATGGTTGTCAACAGCCAGAGGAAATTGCACACTGCCATCAGTACTGGCAGTGGTACTTTCAAAGTCATCTTCAACTAAAAACATATCGACTGGACTGGCAGCTCGATCACCTGTTTCCACATGGTGGCTGTCTGTAAAGTCTGGGTATATGCCGCGACTACTATTACCGGTATCACACTGATTCACGGCATATACACTGTCGGGACTCAGCGATCGGGGGATACCTGGCTGAATCTGAGATTGGGAGGTGGCAAACAAATCACTGGCACTGTGGAAGCTCTCTGCTCCATGTGCAGCAGTGCTCTCATCGCCTGCAGATGGGTGCCCGCAGGCCAGTAGAGTTTGGAGCTGAATCGGTGTCAGGGAGAGATCAGGCAGCCTGTGACTAGTGCTCCTCATTGCAGTACTGTGGATAGCAGTTCTAGGGCTAGCACATTGCTGGTATGACTCAGGCCAGTTTTGCTCAGGGACAGATTCACCTGATTTACCTGCATCGTAGACAGCACCTGCATCACTATCATTCACCTCACAGGCACGCTCCAATAAAGAGCTCGTTGTTGCACTGGCCAAAGGTGTACTTATATTCCTATTACCAGCTGTATACTCCACAGCAGCACTACACACAGGAGCACAGTTCCTGTAAGTACTGTCAGTGGAGTGCTGCAGGGCATGGCAATTGAAAGATGCTTGAGTACTGGCAAGTGGCAATGTTGGTCCAACAGTTTCTTCAGCTAGGGAAGTGCTTGTTGATATGCTACTGCTGCCGGTCAACATGGTAGAATAAGACTGCAAAGGACACTGGTGACATGCAGCCAAGACAGGGCCAGCAGTCATAGTGTTCTCCTTGTGACACACACAGCTACCGGTGTGCACACGACTACCAGCATGGGATGAGAGCTTGGACGAGTCAAGACACATACTATCCATTGTGCTGCATGCCCTCGACGGAGCAGGATTCCTAGTAACCGTGCGTAGACTCAAGTCGGCCCAGATGCCAGCACTACCAACGGCAGCAGCAGGGGTTGAAGTCATGCGAGACAGGGCCAGCGCAGATCTTGACCGCACGGTGGGTGTCAGCGGCGATCGCTGCATATCATCTGGCTGCCTGCAGTTGACACGGCGCTGTGCACGATGTCGGTGTGATAGAAGAAGGGAAGCTGATGAGCAGGATGATGGGTATGCAGGACAAGGCGTGGTATGATCACTGACATATCGGCCTGGTCGTGCTGAACTACCAGCGTTAGCAGTGTGCATTCGTTCCAGTCTGCTCAGTGGTGTAAATGTACCTGTACTATTGTGTAGTGTGGATACCTTTCCAGGCTGCGCATTAGCATCATAACAGAGCGGTGCGGGTGCAGAATGCAACACGGCGCGTCCAGCTCTTCCGGACAGAACATCCAGGACCGGCATCAGTCTGCAGCCATCCACACGGCGTACGTGCTCGGCTACAAAGTGCTTACTGCTGACGCCAGTGGAGCGCCTCAACCAGCGCCCACTGCACTGCAAAACAACACCAAGCAAACATGACTCAAGAACAGGGCGCACAGCCTCACCACAACTTGTTTCCAGGTCACCATCCGCGCACAGCAATCTGAAGAAAACAAAGCAACAGAAGAGGAGTTGGCTTTAATACCGAAGTAGCATTCTTCTTCATCTTCCACAAAGTGAGCACGCGCCGAAAATACACAGGCAAGACAAACAACACTCTAAATGTCATTCTTGAGGACACTGGACGGTACTACGGTACTTCCCCCGAATAAAAGTCGCACCTCCCTACACTAAACTTCAAAGGCGAAGAAGGGACTTACAATCGAGTGTGACATCTTACTTTAACTTACGTAGAGTCAAATCTCTTTAGGACAAACACCAACAAACCGATGGTATTTGTTCGCAATAACGGGACTTTTCTTAATAAAGTTCTTATCCATATTTTATACCCAGTGAGTACACAGTTCATTTTTCCAATAGAGTTATGAATACTAGTTCTTCTAAAGCGAAAGTTTGTCTTATCAGTGTCCTTCTTAAAGGGGAAGTTAAGGCAAAAATCAAAATTTCACCAGCTGTAGTCTTCGGGGTGCTGAGTCAAATGGTCTTGGTCCGAGAAAGCTGAGACGCTCCCTTCCTACTTGAATCCCAATCGAACATGGTTGAACAAGCGGTCACGTGCTCCTGCGTACACCAGTCACCTGGTCACCGTGCCTGCAGGGTACAACTTACTAGCCCGTTTGACCTTTTTTGGGTGCAGTCCTGTCACTCGAGTTGAACTCGAGTTGAACCTTGGTGTGAAAGTTGTCGCCTGCTGGCGTGGTGACCAGGTGATTTGGGCACCCAGGAGCACGTGACCGCTTGTTCAACCATGTTCGATTGGGAATAAAGGAGGAACGCTGCATCGCAGCCTTTTCGGACCAAAACCAGTCGACTCAGCGTCCAAAAGACTACAACATATGGGCCAATCGCGGTCATCCGTGCTTTTATAAGAACGGAATGGCGCTTTTAGTGACATTTTGCATCCAAATCCCCTTCTAGTAGGGCGCAGTCACCCAGTTTCGGTGGAAGTGCGCGAGTTTGATTGGGATTCAAGTAGGAAGGGAGCGTCTCAGCTTTCTCGGACCAAGACCATTCGACTCAGCACCCCGAAGACTACAACTGGTGAGAAGCTTCACTGTATGTGAATATATTGATACAGTATGACTCAAACCTGAAAATGGGAGTGTGACTAATCATCGGGGAAATGCGGTAAGTCTTGAGGGTACCGTATTTAGTATTTGCATCATCAATCAGACCGTTATCCTTTGCTCATACGGATCCCGCCGGGTCATTGAAAGCGAGGTAAAGAAGGATCCCGCCGCCGTAGCGGTGGCTCTTTCAGGAAACATGTATGCACATGCCAGTCTGATAAGGTTGATACAACATACCTAATTTTAAAAAAATGCTATGCGCACGCAGCATCATTTCAAGGCGGCGGCATTTCAACGGAACTTGCCAGTGACGTGTTCCTCCAAACTCAACTGACCCCCTCCCTCAGACCTCAGACCTGCCCATCGCGGAAGCGATGATGGCGAACAGCTATGTTAGACATAGCAACTTGTGCTGGGATTACACCATTCAACAGCTTGCAAGGCTGATGAATAGACTGCCACTATTTTTAGCCTGGTATCCACCACACAGCTATGAAGTACCCCCTCCCAGCACACACACACACACACACACACACACACACACACACACACACACACACACACACACACACACACACTCAAGCTACACAGGTCAGTCGATAATATGCAGCAGTACCTGACAAACTTCAGAGCGGAGCCTCCCATGACAGTACACAGGCCACTACCGTAGAGAGTTAGCCATTTCACATCATCCGCCGGCAGCAATGCTTTGATTCCAAGGGCATAATTGAACTCAGCGGAGTCTTGCGTAACCAGCAAGCCGCAGTTGACACATGACTGTCTCCAGCTGAAACAAACCAAGACAAGATGACAAGGCATTTGAATGTCAGCAAAATAGTGAAACAGTTCAATGCATGTTAGGGGCCGTCCAAGGTTACCAATAGTATTTTCAAAACGAAAAGTTTTCGTTTGGGGGTGGGTGGGTTTGAAGGAGTTTCGTTTTGAAAATAATTATTGAATGCAGATTGAGAATGTCCAGTTACTTCTGGGTGTCGAAAATTGACATCAATATTTTATTGGAATTCGTTTTACCTGCAGAAAAGGTAGGTGGGTGGGTGGGTGCTGAAAAATACTAAAATATTTCGTTTTGCAAAAACTATCGGTAACCCCGGACGGCCCCTTAGTAATAACAAACACCCAAGGGCCATGCAAGTTGATACAACTGTACGGAGGCACTCTATCCAGATATCTGGGGTGGAGTCCCTGCTACCAAGAGTAGATAAACAAGAGTGTGCAACTCCGCATCTCTCCTACACAATCTGCAGATACCCCGGCCCACAGCGGAAATCTTTTGTTGACGTCACCTTTTTACAGAGCACGCGCATTTTGCCGCAGAGCAGTGTGAGAGCACGTGCTGGGCACCGCCCTTGTAATGTGAAACCCGGCCAAGTGCATGAGGTAAAAACTTCCCAAAAAGACTCTCAGCGTGTGCGTCATAGAAAAGATTACGTTAACAAAAATTTCCGTCGTGGGCCAACCCATCCGCGAGTTACACACTCTTGTTTATCTACTCTTGCTGCTACTAAAGTATAATGCAGTACATACCGTATAGGTGCCAATAGAAGCCCCGGGGCTCTATTTTTCCAGAAGACACATTGAGGTGGGCTATATTTGAGAGAGGGTTTTATTCGAGAGGTTAAAAAAAATTATTTTAATAGAAACATCAATTGCTTCACCCTGCTGATCAGTACACGCAGTGACTGCACTCGACTGTTGTAAGGTAAGTTAGGCACCCTTGACTGCAGTGTGTGTGTGTGTGTGTGTGCAGTAAGGCTGCGTTCGTTTTTAGCTACCTAGTAGAGTAGAGTCACTCTACCGATAGAGGTAAGTGCACGAACGCTGTTGTACCGGATTTAGTAGTTTGCACGATGTGTACGTGAAATGTTTCTTTTTTGTATGGAGTTGTGTACAAATCCTTGATCTTGTTGGAAATCCCGTAGCTCTACCAACTTCTATCGGATTCTACCAACTTTTTCCTGGTAGAGCCGGTAGAGGAAAGTAGAATCAACCCTTTTGAGTAGAATTTGTTTCAAAAAACGAACATCTCTACCGAAAGAAGTAGTTTCTACCCAAACCTGTAGATCAAAAACGAACACCCCCTAAGTACGCCCTGTCGCACGTGCATACCATACACGGTTTATGTACTGCACTGCATAGTACGGACTTTGTGAGTGCTCGATTATAGCCCCGGGCTTTTATACAAGACGGGGTATCTGCAGATTATTTCGATCCCCTCTGCTATTTACGACTATTGTCTCCTCATCGGTTATTCAAACATTATGGCTGCAACAAAGGTTTGAAGGTTTGGCTACTATTCGTTTCCGAGGCCAATAGAATGAAGGACTTATAATCAAAGTCATGACGCATACGGAGTGGCAAGAAAGAATGAGAAGTGAAGAGATGGTACAGTTCTTCGGTGGGGCAGACCTCTTTGTTAAGCAAAAGTTGAAGTAATGTGTCAACTACTGCACCAGGGAAAGAGTTCTGTTTCTGAATTTCTTGTGCAGAAACCCTCCTGGCTAAACTGGCAGGAATTTTTCGTCCGATGCGCAAAAACGCAAATGCAGATAGTGCTGTCCTTGCCACTCACACTGAGCTACAGGCAGGTGTACGCTGCTAATGTTTCTTCCCCGGCGCATGACAATACGGATCGCACACCCTCGACACGGGTTTCCTGCCTGATCCTCAACCGTGTAAAGATGGGGTCACTAGTGATACATGTACTATGTACGTGACTCTACCCTATACCCCCCCCCCCCCTCTAGTGTACGTAACTCTACCCTAGTGTAAAAGACTAAAGCGGGATCCACAGAAGCTTTTTGGCGATGCGACACGCGATGCGACAGCCGCGAAACCCCAAATCGCAGCCATGTCGCACCCCACACAACTGCTGCAACTGGGCCATCGCAGAAGTTGAGCTTGGCTCAACTTTTGCGATGCGACAAGCGATTTGGCGTACGATTTTGACCTTTTCTACAGCAAAGTTGTACAAAGGTTCAAGAGTTGCCTATACATTTGTACAAGTTGTATCAAACCGCGCAAATATCATGGTGACGTAGCCAAATCAGCAAGATGTTGTCGCATCACTGACTTCTTCTGTGAATGGTATTTCGCGAGTTCGCATCGCACGCGTCCGTCGCAGATCGCGTCGCATCGCAAAAAAGCTTCTGTGAATCCCGGCATTCACGATGACTGTAATCTCTGTCTCTCTCTCTCTCTCTCTCTCTCTCTCTCTCTCTCTCTCTCTCTCTCTCTCTCTCTCTCTCTCTCTCTCTCTCTCTCTCTCTCTCTCTCTCTCTCTCTCTCTCTCTCTCTCTCTCTCTCTCTCTCTCTCTCTCTCTCTCTCTCTCTCTCTCTCTCTCTCTCTCTCTCTCTCTCTCCCCCCCCCCCCGCAACTTATGGCTGGAACTTACCGTTCAGCTCTCCGCCGGCATTGAGGGCAGCTGGCATACGTACAGTTCCTGCCGATGCCCAATACAGTAAATATGAGCTCGTGCCGAGACATTTCCCGACCTCATGGCTGAGTTCATAATACAGTTTACCAGTGAATTTCGATCACTCCAGCACTTCCGGCAGAGATATAGCGTATACCCGCTTGCATGATACTCCGTCGAAGTAGTCCTTGAATAGGCTATAGCAGAAGTTACACTTACACAACCTTAGTTCCCAAACAAATAGTCCTTCGTTGAGAGTTCTTCAGATCAAAATATTATTTTTGTATTAGCTAGCCTCAGCATGCAGCATATCAGCAGGCCAGGCCGGAGCCTCTCGATCTCAAGCTAGCTAGCTCAGCTCAGCTAATGTTTTTTTTTGTATTTTTGAAATTCGCGCAGAATGCGTTCGCGTCATGCATGATGTAATGTCAAGTCATCAATAATCATGCGATATGCGCATATACCGGTATAATGCTGTTCGACACCACAAAACTTTTGCCGTTTAGGATTTTTCGAGTTGAAAATACATCCACATGTCGAGACTTGAAATGTTGAGGAAAGAGAGGTTGTAAATTGTATTTTGCTGTAGTGATAATAGCAGTTGGACTTCCAGATATCCAGCCGAGCTGCTGGGGTTTTGTTGGGATGAGTGCTCGGGCGGTCCTCAGGCCTGCAGCATGCCTGTCCCGCATAGCCGCTTGTCCTGTTGGAGCAGTGCGATTCAAAAGGCCGCCTCTTGCACCCAAGATCCCGCTCTCCAAGGAGCATCTCAAACCCTTCTATGATATAGTCCCTCCAGGGCTGACAGAAGATTGCCCATTAACGATGGAGATGAACAAACCGGGGCGTCACTACGCGCTTTGGAAACGGGAGTTCATGCCAAAGGCCATCCATATTGAAGGACTCCCTGAGGATTATTATGCACCAGCAAGAGGTTTGGCCAAAAAGCTGATCACAAATCATGATCTTCTTGAGAACGCAGCCAATGAGACTCTTCTTTACGATCCCCCAGATTACGATGAGTACCTGCACCCTACTCATCGTGGCTGGCAGATGTTTTATCTCTTCCATCGTATTCTTATGCAGGCGGAAGGTTTGCCACGCTATGCCGTCAAAGACATGATGCTAACTGCGGACGTGGCTTTTCGCTTCTTGTGGACTCGCATCGGCCGCAATGTTCAAGCGCTTGGTCGTGCTCCATTCTTGATCACATCCAGACATCCCCTTCCACCACCCATAGCCCAACAATCGGAGCTGGACAGAATGAGCGAGGAGCACCAGTTTCATGATGGTACGCCAATCTCTCCATTCTACGGTATGTTGCGGAGGGATTACGGAGAGCCGCGCATCAACTATCCTCTCAACCCTCGATCTCTGTTGCAGTACCCACACACACTGGTGATGATCCAGCGGCGGCGGAACGTCCAGAACGAGATTACGCACATGGAGCTGTCCGTCTTCCAGTTTGCTATTCTTGCCGCCTTTGCTGTGACGCGGCTTGGCTACAAGCTTGGCCAGCCGTGCCCAATGCCGCTCACTATGCAGGCTATATACACGAATGGACGCGAGGTTCAGCTGAGCTGCTTCCAGTTGAATACGCTGGAAATGGACAGCAGCTACGGCTTGAAAAACGTCACCTGGAGTGAACGGAAAGCCGTCTTGTACGATGTGCCGGAGCAGGATGACGAGCGCCGCTACCTAATCAATGGCGTCAAGGAGGACGTCTTCAACAAGTACTACTCATTCTTTCTCAACTACGACTTTGATCGGCTGGATAAGGACACGGACATGTCTGCCGCACAGCTGTTTTGAATGCTCTAATCTGCTGCTGGGAGCAGCTAGTGTGCAATTGCTGTGAGAGGACTTTTGAGTCCGAACATCAACAATAACTTCAGGAGAACATTATTAATTTTTTTTGAAGAGTGAGTGAGAGCAGTGTGGAGTTTAGAATGTTCACCCGTCCATACTGTTGCGAAATAATTTAGTGGAGAAATTGATGAAAAAAATCAGAAGTAGAAACCCTAAACAACCGAACTAGGCTATCTCTGTTGTCTAAATGGCAAAAATCCAACAGAGCCTAAAATATATCTAATATAGCAAAAAGGCATAGAGGGAGTCTCACATGTACACGCTGGTATGGTGTAAGTTAAAAATATTAAAATAATAAAATATCATCAGATGATGGAAAATATGATGGTAAGGAAGTGCATGCACACTCAAGGCTCTTTAGTGCACCTCTGCCCTTAGATGGCTGGGATAGAAGAATTCATAAACGTGTCTAGATCACACACAGGGGATGGGAGCATATAGGGTGCCCTGGCCCTAGATGGGCGGGTTCAGACCAGCTGCTGGGGGCCCAAAGGTGTTGGTAGTAAATTCCGTGTTACACATCAAGGGCAGGATCTGACTGCTGTCCCTTTGCATTTAGCTCCTTTTCCCGCTTCATGTTGGCTTTCTCTGTTCGTGTATGCCAAACCAGTATCTATACGGAAACACACGGGTGCGCACACACAACATGCATGAACGCACACACACACACACACACACACAGGTCATCAGCAGTAGCATGAGTAAAACCATGAGTATATAAACAAGAGTGCCTACGGCGGAATTTTTGTTGACGTAATCTTTTCTACTCTCTCCTCTCACCCAAGCCATTTTGCATAAGCGAAGCTGTGGACGCAGCATACTGCTGCTGCACTTCAACGCGGGACTGCGTATAATCTTTTGTACGACGCACGCGCTGCGAGTCTTTGGGAAGTTTTCACTCGTGCACTTGGCCAGGCCTTACATTACAGGGTCGGTGCCCAGCACGTGCTCTCACACTGCTCTGCGTTAAACGCGCTGTTTTCCAGAAAAGGTGGCGTCAACAACAAATTTCGCCGTGGGTATCTGCAGATTGTGCAGAAGAGATGCGGAGTTGCACACTCTTGTTTATCTACTTTTGGCAAGACACATGGATGTACATGTACATGCAGTGAATGAGACGCCTTCCATGAATATCACATGAGAATCCACATCCATAAGGGGCCAACCGGCACTATTGATAGTTTTCACGAAACGAAAACGTTTAGTCACAAGCCTCTCCACCCACCCACTCATAAATGAAACTGCAGGGACGCCGGACACGCTACGGTCACTACGGTATTGACCGTACCACTTTTTGCCCCAGGTATCAATAAAATACCCTGATCTAGGCTCTAAATTTCCAAAATTTTGAGATCAACAACCCCCCCCCCTCACGAGTAAATTGTACCTCAGATGGCTGACCGTACCACACTAAATTACCTTCCGACGTCCCTGAAACTGTTTTCGTTTCGTGTAAAAGACCAATGATTATTATGGACGCCTCCTATTGAAGCTAGCTGCACAGAAAATCATGGCCGTATTTTCTGAAGCTTGGGCAGGTCTTTTATTTCCCCCAGTCTGAAAGACGCACCAATCGTTTCAAGGCTTTCCTGTTGATTTTGTTTAAAATCGGGTGAAAATATAGGGCTTGCACACCATTACTCGCCGTGGCCATTATTGCTGAAAGTATGGTACGACATGTGGAGATAGAGTGCTTACTTTTCGGCAAAGGTCTGCTCTCGGCTCCATAAGGTCTCGCCGGTTGCTCAGTAACAAGCTCAGAAATGTTGATTCCAGGAAACCAAAGTGCACGGAAGGATCAAGTCGAGCCTACAAAGAAATAGCATCGAGATACGAGTGTAAAGTCTTAAGTTAGTGAAGGAATCAAGCACAATGCATAGAGAGGCACACAGTGGCTGACTTGCTAGTTGTATGGATCTACAGCGTTTTCTTTCTTTCTTGCAGAACAAAGATAGTACATGTAGTAGCACAATGGCACACACACACACACACACACACACACACACACACACACACACACACACACACAACCCATCACACCCGCATGACCAATAACATACCTCGCTATGTTCCCGTAATGTTCTCAAGTTAACAGCAAACCCAGCCATGTCCATTGGGAAGAAGCGGTCCGTCCTCCACAACGAGTGGAAACCGATGACACCTTCTGAGTTACAGACTGGGCCTTCCCACAGCAAACCTCCCACAAGACCAACTGGCCAGACACCCACCTTCTTGATGAAGCGCATCTGTCAACAAGCAACAACAACAGTCAATGGGCCAATCTAAAGCAATTCTCTAGTGTTTCACATCACAGAAATCACTGTGTTATCCCTCTACATGCCTCAATGTCAACAAGTGCAACAGTTACATGCATGCACTAGTATCATGAAAGCACCTTGTCAGTTCAGTTGTCAACATTGGTACATGTACAAGTGAGTCCCAAACCTACATCATCAAACAGCTCCAGGCTGTAAGTGTTGTCATCATCCATGAAGTACACGATGGCATTCTGAGACTCGGGTAAGAATTCGTCAGCATGCTCCAAAATGTAGGAGAGTCCTAAGTTCCTCTGCTCCACACCGCGGTGCTTGTGCCACCGAGGCTCACGACTGACGAGCTGCATGTCCTCAGGTGTCCGTGTGTTCAAGTGTGTATAGTGAAGACCACATCTGAATGGATGATAACAGAGAGGACGACGACGACGACGACGACGAGAGAGAGAGACGAGAGGGAGAGAGAGAGAGAGAGAGAGAGAGAGAGAGAGAGAGAGAGAGAGAGAGAGAGACAGATGACGAACCTTAAGGTTAGCATTTCGCACTCGAACACCAAACTAGTAACTGGTATGTATCTTACAAAATCTGATGCACCAAGTGGACACAATGGCTGCGTGCTCTGATGGTGGCAACGTCTCCCAATCACATGCTTAGGAGCGACACCACAGGGGGGGGGGGGGGGGGGTGGAGTTCCCTATGACAAGCTACAGTGTAGGCAGCTAAGCAGCGTTTACAGAGAGGACGTGTGGTAGCATTCATATAGAAAGCTTAGCTCAACTGCCCAGAGTACTGTACACATTTCCTCCCTTGTATATGAGCAATTTGAACCTCCATACTGGTACGACTGTGTCCTCACAAGGGGCACGCATGTAAAGTGTTCTTTGTTACCATGGTTACAGACTACACTGCACTCTACGTTATGGACACATTTGGTCCCAAGGTGCCTGGATAAGAGAGGCCTGAAAGATTATGTTCATGTTTTAAGAAGAACAACGGACTGCGGGATACACCAATGTCAGAACGAGCAGGATTTGTTGTTGTTGACTGTTGCTCAAAACTACAGGTAGGAATTGACCCTGTTTCATCCCTGCACCTTCGGCTGTTCTCTCCTCTCTTCCAACCCTGGCCGGTATGGCATGACTGTCCAAGTTAACATGAGCATGGCTCTCACAGCCATTACTACCAGTAACTGCACACACCCAACACATGCTCTAGCAGAGCGAAAGGAAGCTCCAGGTATATGCACTTACGTTGACAAAAATCGAGTCACTTTGGCCGTTTTCGTCATAGAGTCTTCTACCAAAATCCAGTGAAAATTTGGCACATGGCGCAGCGTCAAGGATAGCCGTGTAAGGTCCGCTTTCTGGGTCGGTCGTGTGAATGTTGGCGTTATCGCAACAATGACAGGAATATCAGGACGGTGTGGTCGAGGCTTAGGCACTAGGCCAGCCCGTATCGGGTTAACTGACTCTTCAAACTGAGTTAGCTTTAGTTGCGCAGCACCCAACTGTTCATCAAGGCTACGTTTCTCCTGGCGCTCTGCACACAAATATTGGCACATGTGCAAGTATACATAATACACGCACATACCGGCAAAAACACACGCATGCACAGGTGCACACAAACACACAAGAAGATGTCCACACCTACCACCGCAACAAAACACGTGCCAGTATATAACATGCACAAGTGTCTCCACTGGAAAACAAAATGCATTTTGTCCATTTTTGTCCAGGGTGGGACTACCGTATTTTACCAGTTATACCAAGAGTGTGGGGTTATGGACTCTTGGTTATACCTTATAAGTCCCCCCCCCATACTTGGGGACTTGGTTTCTCGGTTAAATGGCAGCTAAACCCCAGTTGAAAGTTGACTATGCCCCTTTTTTTCGTTCAGTTTTTAGGTCACAAGAAGGTCGACGGCTAGCCTGTAAAATGAGGGATTCTGCAGAGGGAGTGAGGGTAGAACAGTTGGATGCACTGAGAAAGGATCAGCAAAAACAGGTGTGTTCCTCTTCGCACCTGGACCAACTATCTTCTCTTTACCACACATTGCTGCATCATTGCTGCACTGGCTGACTGCACTCAAGTACATGTACATGAAACCACAATGATCACAATATAGAGCGATTTCAAGGTTGTACCAACGGTCACTTTTTGGGGTCATGTGCGAGAAATTTTTGAATCGCTGGTGAACAGGCAAAGCCCAGTTCACGTTCACTTTGTATGGGAATGGATGCATGGAGGTGAAAGAAGCAGTAGAATGGCGCTCCACTTGATGTCCGACACTCGTGTTGAGTCAGAGCAGTTGCCAGGAAGCCCTTCCATGGCTTGGGCGAAAAAGAACAAGCTTCAGAATAGCTCCAAGCGCTGGTGGAGACAAACCTGTCACATTTCGTATACTTTTCGATGCATTTTGACATGCGACCTGTTCACCACAATCTCAGGGTGATCGCCGGGGCGGTGGTGGGAACGGCGTCCTTGAAAAAGCTCTATAGGCCGCTCCCACAAACCCCATGACCTCATGTTTAGGCCATTTTGCAGGACACCAGCGGCATTCAAATGCAACCGAGCACGTGCATTTCCTGCGGGAGTATCATATGCGCAAAGAACTCGCCTCGAGGCATTGCCTTGTTCTCCACTACGTCATTCTCCCTCGAGAGTGCAATCGCGCTAAATTCAAAGGGTTATCAACGTAACTTTCACTAGATAAGAATTGTTGGTATCGGCTTCAAGTATTATGACATAATACTTGAAGCAGATAACATTATTTTGGTGCAAAAATTTGAAATTCGAAATCAATCATTACATGTATACAGTGGAACGAAACGTACCAGCAACCAGGGACAGCGTGAGATACAACACAGCTGCACAGAGCAGAAAGGTTGTGACATGTTGAATTCGAACTCCCATTTTTATACGAGCCAGCTTCCTGTTGAATCCTCCACAAACGTGAGTAGGCTTCATGAAAAAATGTAAACCAAGCCACGAAAATACTGTGACTTGCAAGTTGCGATGATCAGCGTGAGAAAGTGTGGCTTTTTTCTGTAGCTCTGCCAGGCCAAACAATATTCCACAGCAACGCTGGAAGCTGGCAAATCAGCATAACGACTAATCAGGGACTCAGCTTGACTGTCAGTGAAACACGTGCTAATCTAGCTAGCTGCAACATGACTATACACGCATTTCGTGAGATACGAAAAAAGGAGGAGAAAAGCAGAAGATAGCTAGTTCAGAATTGAAGTTACGCAGTGACTGGGAGCCTCTTCATAACTAACATAGCCGGTCAACTAGTTTGAGGAGAGTTAGTTGGGCACAACAAAGACAACGACGTCAACATCAATAAAAAGAACCAACGCCACTCATGCTCAACCAAGCAAAAGTTGGCAGCAAAATCATTCAAAAGTCAAAACCCGTTTGCATGCACGTGCTGTATGCACGTGGTTCGTTGTATGCGACGTGTCCGCATGTTCCAGGTGGGGCCGCGCCGTGCTGGCCGACCGGCGGCGCTATCACGCAAGCTATGCACATTTCGTGTGTCTTTCGCACACTCGACTCGTGATTGCGCGCGCGAGTCGAAGCTCGCATGCACCCGCAAAATCCGCTGCGGCCGCGGTGCAGCTGGTTCCATCGAGGGAGCAAGTCTAGTCGGACTTCAAGATTTTTTAGGTCGAATTTTTCAGGTGTCAACCATTTGTGCAATTGCCTACATTGTAAAGTGAAAGTTACTTTGTAGTGCTCTTGTGTTACTGACTACTGTCTCATTTTGCAGTCACTCGGCCTCCCATAAGTGTCTCAGGAAAATTTCCATTCATACTCACCTTAGTACTAACATAATTATTAGTTACAGAAGACAAGAGGCACCTGACCTCAATTTGGAGTATTTCGCATCCAGTTGGTGTGAGAAACAATTTGAAAAATGCTAAGTCGTTCCTTGGCCGTGGCACGGCGACGCTGGTGCCGTCAGTGTAGTACAGTGCCTCGAATTACGACTCACTACACGGTTGTGCCAAGAGAAAGTGATCCACGATGGAAAGGTAAATACATCATCATAATACCTGTGACCGTCACCCAGCAGTATTTGAACTCTTGTCAGTACTGCAGTCTGTGTCGGCGCAACACAGCAGTCTGCATTTCCACCACAAACAACAGCGATCAGCTGTATTCTCCTAACGAGTTTGCTTTGCATGTATGGGGTGTTTTATAAAAACTATGTCAAACTACTGAATCCTCACAATGCCCAGTGTTGTGGCAGTGTACTGGCTATACAATGTACATGTGTGTTCAAGAGTCCAGAATCCATGACTGTGCAACGGTGGCCATGATTCAGTGTGTGGCTCCCTGCCCTTCATTACGCTACTTGTCTCCAGCATGGCCTGTAAATATGCATTCAAATTTCTCAGTTTCTAATTTCGCCCCCCCCCCCCCCCCCCCTTCGATTCATGCCGGTTGCTGGTCTCAAAATGATCCCTGAAGCTTGCTTCGTAGATTCCCAATTTGTCCAAAATTTGAAAGGCATCCTGAGGTCCACTGTTTTCAAAGCATAGGG